TACTCAAGCATTTGAGTCTTTCAAAGGAGTATATGTTTCTGGTAGAAGTCTCTGGCCCTGGGGCTTCCCCTCAGTCACTCTCTGCTATAGTCATGTTGGCAGTTTTAGCCAAAATTCATTTAGATAAGTGAGTAGATGTTTTACTGCCTCTTTGCTATTTAGAATTTTTATTTTTTATCTTTTGGCCGCGCTGCATGGTCTGCAGGATCTTAGTTCCCTGAACAGGGATCCGACCTGGGCCCCCTGCAGTTGGAAGCGCGGAGTCCTAACCACTGGATCGCCAGGGAAGTCCCGCTATTTAGAATTTTTAAAGGAAAACATACACTAACTAACATTAGCTTTTTCTCTCAAACCTATATCCTTGCGTTGATCCGCTGTAGTAAGTTTTCTTCCAGTTTTTAGATCTGGTTTCCCCCTCAGGCTACCGAAAGGCCCATATCCCCATATCTCCTAAGGCACCAGTTTAAGACTACAACATGTGGCCACAGCGCGGGATGCCTGATGGAGCAAAGGGAAGGTTACTAGTCTCCGCTGAGCAGTCTCAGAGCCAGAGGGGAGCAGAGGCCCTCCAGGTCGTCTGGGCCATCCCTTTGCCTTTGGGACAACAGACACGTCCCCTACCTTAGACTGCATCGGGGAGCGGGGCTAAGGGATTTCATTGCACGGGTGAAGGGGCCGGAGCCGAGCGTTTGGTTTGTAAATGCACCGAGTGAGGTACTGGCACAAATCACATCACACCTTACTGAGGAAGGGAAAGCACGTCCTGAGTCTAAGGGACAGCTAACTACGATTTGTCCTCCCTTTCAGATTGCCCCAGAGTACTATGAGTCTGCCTTTCAGTCATCCAAATTAAATTTGCAAGTAATTAAGTCATGCAAGTAAAAGTTGCTTTCACATGATTATGAGGCCCTTAGAACTCTCCAGTTTAAGTCTGCAAGTACAGGAGCCTGAGTTCCCCTCTTTCTTTGTTCTTCTTTCCTCTCTCTAATGGGCTCTTGGGCTCCACATGTTGAGACTGTGAAAAACTTTGAACCCATAAGAAGTTCAAACTTGAAGAATATGTGTCTGTTTCCTGGACAAACCTCCAAGAATCTGTACAAAAAGTGAATCTGCTCCCCCTGAGGGGAGTTGGGATCTACTCCAGTGTAATGGAGGGGTGGCCTGGAGCTCTTCTTGTCCTTAACCAAAAGCAATTTCCTGTCCTCCTGGTCCCCCTGCAGCCTGCAGGGCTGGAGCCCCCAGTGCTGTACCTCTCCCTGAGCAGCAAGGTGGGCCACGCTGGTCACGTCTCCCTGGACAAAGGAGAAATAAATCACACTCCAGCCCCTGCTTAAGATCTGATGAAATTCCCCATTTCCGCTCCAAATTGAATTCCTCCCGAAGGATTGGAGCAGCTCCCGTGTAATGAAGGCACTCCTTCCTCCTCTGCTAGAAGCATGTTTTAAATGAACTGACACAGCCTTCTAATCTGGGTGGGGAGGTAGCTTTTAGGAACAATCTTGAGAAACTGTTTTCAGACCAGAAAAGATATTTTTAATCTTGAGGGGCAAGGCGGCAGACAGACAGTACCACGTGGCCTTTGTCGGGAGGCAGCCCCGCTGCTGGTGGTCTCCTGGGAAGGAAGGAGAACACGTGTCCTGCTGTCGCTCTGCCCACCCCCCTGCTCTGCCCTGCTGGCCTCCTAGATCACTTGCAGTGAAAGAGAATTTATGATGGAGAATACAAAACAAGAGGGCTTGTACTTTTTGAGAGTTGAAAATATTACTTTCCCACCCATCTCTTATTTGGGAAAAATGATCAACTCTGTGATTTTAAAAAAAAAAAAAACCAAAACCCAAACCAAAAACCTTCTTTAGGATGAAGATGTCATTGAAGTGATTATCTTCCGTCCTCTGTAACGATGATGAATCAACAATTTGGCATTTGTAGAGGCAGTTGACACAGGCCCTTTCAGGGGAAAAAGGGAAAAGAAAAAAGAAAACCTGTTTTCAAATAGGGCCTGTCAGAATGAAGGCTGGTGTCCCGCTGCCTGATTAGGACCATGAATAAGATTCTGAGAACTCAGAAAGTGTGAGGAACCCAGGGGTAAAACTTATGAATCAAGTGTAAGGTAGGAGTAGAAAATTCTAAACATTCATTTTGTTTTGAAGGTGGGCATGAAGGAGATTATCTGCTGGTAGAGAAATATTTAATATTATTCCTTGAAGTGAGTTTAAGAGCATTATACCTTTCTTCATTCATTGTTGGAAAAAGCAGTTTAAAAATTCTACTTAACATGAAAAATCCTGACACTTAGGTTCAAAAGGAGAGGAAGAAATTCTCCTAGAAAAAAAAAATTCTATGGGTCCTTTTATGCCAGAATTTTGTTAACAACCCTTGAGAAAGGTTCTCAAAACCTTACTCTGTGTTTTTAATTCAGTTTAAGAAAGAACCTATTTCGCTCATAGAAGCTATGACCCACAGGTAAAACCCAACCTTAGACGACAAACTCCGCTGCAGGAGGATTTGGGGTCTGGTTCTCAACTGGAAAATTGCTTTTCAGGGAGAAGGTCATGTTTTCCACTGATAACAGGGTCATTTATATCAAGTGAAACGCACATCCTCCGACCTAGGAGGAAGTTTAAGCTTTGGTCTTTCTCAGAAGACAGGAGGAAATACATTTCTCCCTGGCTAGGAAGAAAGTATTGAGGATGGGAAGTGGGAATTCAGGCACCATTCCAGCAATGCCAGGGTCTGTCCTGAGCCCAGCCAAGGCCAGAGTGGTATCTCCAGAGTACTGACAGGTGGGGAAGGAGGTCTGGTGGAGACAACAAAGACTGTTGAAGGGGAAAAACTACAGGACAGGAAAATGAAATGCCATCCCCCCCACACACAGCTGGTTTTGTGCCTTCCTTCAGGCCCTTGCGGACTTTGATATTTGCATAAAAGAGCCTGGCTCGGCTTCCACGCTGGGACAAAGCAGCGAGCAGGTCGCCGTGGACAGGGCAGCCTTTTTCTTCGTGAACAGTCTCGCTGCCATGTCACGGTCATCAGCGTGTGTACACTTCCTGGGCTGCGGGGTCTGCTCAGCTGTACCGTCTCTGTAACTGCGTGTGCACCGTCTGGGTCTCTGGCCAGAAGACCTTTCCAGCGCAGGCTGTCTGTGAGCCTGTTTACAAAGCCCGGAGTTGCTTCTGTTTTGCTTTAGCCAAAAGGGTGAAGTGCTGCCAGCAGTATGTCTGGAATGTTATTTACTTGGTACATTTCTGTGGCTTTTCTTTGCAGTGCTGCACATGCCAGAGCAAAGGGTTATTTACTTGAAAATGCCAGGTTTTGCAGTTTGTCTTCTCCGTGGGGCCACTTTCTCAAGAAGAGGAAGTTTAGCTCCTGGGCCTCTGTTTCCTCCCTCCTTCCTTCCCTCCCTCTCACCCTTTTCCCTTTCCTTCCTGTCTGCCTTCCTTCCTTCCTTTTTTTTTTTTTTTCCTGAGTTAGTGCTCTGAACTCCTGTTGTTTGCATCCTGCATCGCACCTTTGTATCCTAAATGCCCCAGCTACACTTTTAATTCCTGGCGTTTCTGGTGGACTCTGCCGGGATCCTGGCTGACACCTTCTCATTTGCGCGCCTGCCCTGTTATTATTTCACATGAAAGCTGTCTATTTTGGCACACATGACTCGCGCGCTTTCAGTTGAGCTCTCTGAGCTGAACGGGCGATGCTGTGCAAGGCAAGTACAGGTGGGGTTTTCTCTACTGGCCGCCGTGGGGGCAGAGGACAAAACCGCAAGCCGTCCTGGCTTGCGCAGAGCCCACACGATGGCAAATGCATGGCTTTTAAAGGAACGAACCAGTGTGTACAGCTTCTTAACTTGGAAGGTTTCACGACTGCTTTTGTTCAATCGATGGAGGAGAGTGCTTTTTTTTTTTTTTTTTTCCCCCCGGTACGCGGGCCTCTCACTGTTGCGGCCTCTCCCGTTACGGTGCACAGGCTCCGGACGCACAGCCGCAGCGGTCATGGCTCACAGGCCCAGCCGCTCCGCGGCATGCGGAATCCTCCCGGACCTGGGCACGAACCCGGGTCCCCTGCATCGGCAGGCGGACTCTCAACCACTGCGCCACCAGGGAAGCCCGAGAGTGCTTTTTTTTAAAGAGCAAATTCTTCATTCATAAGACGGTAAACGAGTCCTGTATAAATGAGAAATACCGAAGGTGGAAGCACAGGAGGTATTTCCTTTGCCTCTTCTCTCTTCAGCCTCCCTTCTTCCCATTCCATCAATGCAATTCTAATCATGGTATTTGGGGTTTTAAAAGAAGGTGTGGGAAATGAGATTAGATAAATCTCCCAGGCTGGTGCCAGCCCTGGAACCATTTGCACACCTGAGTGAGTTAATTCCCTTCTTTCTCTCTCTGCTTAGTTTTATGTCATGGGAACGTATGAGCATCTATAGATAGAAGATACCTTTGAAAACCTCGGCCTCACAGAGACTCAGCCTTTATCAGAGTCTCTTGAAACCTCACCCACCCATGGCACCTAGGAGTTTGCTGCCTCTGTAACCACCCTCAGTCTGAACTAGGAAATGTTTGGTTCCATTCTTCTCGGCTTTCCCTGTCCTTCTGCATGACTTCTCACTTTGTTTGTAAGCTGCTCGGATTGTTTGGCTGAAGGCTCTTCTTTGATCACTGTCTCGAAGGCATGGGCTTCACATTCTCACACCTGCTCTTCTTTTACAGTCCAGATTTCAGGGTAAGTGCTTCCATCGCCTTGTAATTTCTTCAGTGTGAAACCTCGGTGCAGGTTGCTTATTACAGGTAATAGCTGCTTGATGACGGAGACGACTGCTTGGCAGAAAAGGCAACCTGAACCTCTGCCAGGAACTTAAACTGACACTTTATTTATTTCTAAAATCACCTAAGCTGCGAGCCCATTGGTCGTGATCTAGCATGCACACGATAATAACAGGCTGGGGCGGCTGTGAGGACAGGCCCTGATAAGACTGTGTGTGTTTTCTCCCCCATGATCCACAGCCCACACCTCGTCTTCCTCTCTCAGAGCACCTTGACTGGAATGAGCCAGTTCTGTGGGACCCGTCTCTGCCATGAAATTGCTCACGCCTGGTTTGGCCTGGCTATCGGGGCCCGTGACTGGACGGAAGAGTGGCTCGGTGAAGGGTTCGCCACTCACTTGGAAGATGTATTCTGGGCCAAGGCGCAGCAGGTAGGTTTCAAGTGCACTAAGCATTTCACTACCCAGAGTCAAGTTCAACTCAGAGTCTTCCTATTCAACAGATAGGTATTGAGTGCTCATTATGCACTTAGGCACTTGTTCTATTTGCTTTGTAAATGGGAGGAGAGTCCTTGCTCCTCACGGCGTTCATGGTCTAGCGATGAGAGAGAGAACAGATACACGACTACATCTTTAACATGTAGTGACGAGTACTGTCAAGAAAATGAAGCCGGATAGAGAGAGGTGGGTTTAGTGCTGTTTTAGAAGGTGCTTGTCAGAGAAGCTCTCTGATGAGGGGACATCTGAGCAAAGACTTGAAGAAAAGGTGGTACTGTGCATACTCAAGCACTCCTTTGTGGGATGGTTGTGGTGTGTTTTGTTTTATTAAATAATGAGATGAAATTTTAAATCAAGAGTCATGATCTCAGATGTCTGCTGGCAAGTAATAAAGAATGAAGCAGTTGGTGTTATAGATTCGGGAATAGTAAGGACTGTGGCAAACCGGAAGCTTCTCCTCAGCTCTAACCGATTGCTGTCATGCTGAAAGGAGGGCTCAATACAACCTGGACTTCTAGTTTTTTAAAGGAAATTATGACTCTGGATTTTTATGTGAAATTTACTCATTTAAAAACTATGCAAACCAAACATACACTGAGGCCAAACCTAGTCAACACACTCCCAGTTTGCAACCTCAACTTTTTTTTTTAACTTTATTTTTATTTAAAAAAATTTTTAAATTTAGGTAAAATTGACCTATAACCTCTCACTAGTTTTGGGTGTACAACATAATAATTCTATGTTTGTATACATTGTGAAATTATAACAAGTCTAGTTAACATTAGTCACCTTACATAGTTACAATTTTTTTTCTTGTGATGAAAACTTTAAGATCTACTCTCAACACTTCCAAAAATGCAATACCGTGTTATTAACTATAGTTACCTTTCTGTATATTACATCCCCAAGACTTGTTTATTTTAAATCTGGAAGATTGTACGTTTTGACCCCTTCACCCACTTCTCCCACTTTCTGACCCCTGTCTCTGGCAACCACCAGTCTGTTCTATGGATCTGTGGGCTTTTGTTTTTTACAACCTCAACTTTAAAGAATTAGCCACCAGCAGTAAGGAAGATATGGCAGCTAACCGGCTTCCTGCTTATTTTCTAACTTCTAATATTTGGCTACTTCTGTTCCCTACTGTCTCTACACACTGGACTACTTGACTTTTTCTGAAATTCCCAAGTTTGTGCATATCTGCATGATTTTGTCCAAGTTCCTTCTGCCTGTTGAAATCCTATTTATCTTTCACTAGCAGCTCAAGGTCACCTTCCCTTGATAGCCCAGACTGTTCATCTCACTCACAGTTCAATAATACTCTTGTAGAAACTTTGGATTTCCACCTGTTTTTTCTCACTTTTTTCTTCTTCTTTCTATCGTCATGACTAGACTGTGACCCCTTTCAAAGTGGCACTGTGTCTTACTCAGCCTCCCCCTTTCACACCTTGGCTGTAGAGCTAGCAGTGTGCATAGCTGTGTCCCCCTCCACACAGAATCCTGTGGAGAGAGGCCACCTGGAAGGTTCTCGAGCAAAGGGGCTGGGTTTGGAGTCGGACCGGACTCGGAATCCCAGCTTTGCTGTTTACAGTAGGTTATGTAGCCTCCCTGAGCCTCAGTTTCCTCATTTATAAAATGGGTATAGGAACGCTTAACCTTGCAGAGTGAAAGGGATAGTGTGTGAATGAGCTTAACACAGTGCCTGACACGTGGAGGGTGTCCAAGAAATACCAGTTCTCCTTTCTTGTTCTCTTCCTCTTTGATTTTGCCACCACGTTGCACACAGTAGGCATTCAGCCAGGATTAAATAGGTTTAGTGTAAATGTGCCTCTTTCACCATCACTTCCCTGAGGTACTTCCATCCTGAGACAATCAGATTTATGCTATTCTTCATAATCCTGAGTGTATGTCAGGCATCTGACGATCATCTCTCTGTCCTTTATCTCCTGAATCCCCAAAGAACGCTCCCCCTTTATCCTTCCCCTTGCCTGTACCTCCTGGAATCTCTTTGCTTGTGTCCTCCCTCCAGCTGCCCTACCTTACATCTGTCTCTACCAAAAAAGGCACGATGCTGGCCTGGCTGCATCTCACAACTGCACAACTTCCATGTGTCCATTCTGTGCTAGATCTGTAGGGATAAAAGGATAAGACTACAACGCTGCTCTGAAAGAGGTCAGAGTCTAATTTTGAAGATAAGGAAAGCACACAGTAGAAGGAAGAAGAAAATAAGTTAGAAAAGAGAGGTAAACACCAAATATTGTGGGAGTTCACAGGTGGAAGAGGCTGGGTATGAGAAAATCCAGAAAGCCTTCTTGGAGGAGGTGACTTCTTGTGGGTCTCAAAGGGAAAGTAGGAGTTGAAGTTTCTCTACCCCTCCTTTTCCCTTAACCTGGAGTAGGGGGCAATCCACCTCATCATCCTTTAAGGTGCACGCAGTAAGTCTTCAATATGTGAAAACATGGACACCCCTGAAATGAAGTGGCAATTCTAGAACCAGCACAAAGTTGGGAAACATTTCCAGAGTACATCCATTGCTCTGGCCCCTTCCTTGAAGGTTGAGTTAGACTGAGCGGCTGATGGTCCCTGACAAGTGTTCACAGCAAGCCTCCCAAGCAGGAGAGGAGTGCTCCTTGGGGCAGGAAAGGGTGGGCCACCTCACGGGACTCCCAGTCAGCAGGTCATTTCATCACTGAACAGGGCGTGAGGGTGCCGTGTTGCTTTGCTGCCCAGGAGACTGCATTGTGCAGCACCGAGCATTAGCAAGTACAGCAAAGGGGAGTGAGAAATCTTTGAACTAGGAGATAGAAACCCACATTCCTCTCAGAGTGGCTTTCTGTAGGGAGAGGTGAATTGAGTTAGTGGCAAGTTGAATCGTATAACTTGTCATCAACTTGGAGAAAGTCTAAACTCCTTCACAGCTGTCATAGTCAGCTTGGTCTGCCATAACAAAGTACCACAGACCAGGAGACTTAAACAACAGACACTTGTTTTTCTCGCAGTTTGGGAGGTTGGAAATCCAAGACCAAGGTGCTGACAGGCTTGGTTTCTGGTGAGGCCTCTCTTCCCTGGCTTGGGAAGGGCCATCTTCTCACTGTGTCCTCACATGGCCTTTCCTCAGTGCACACATGGAGAGAGAGTTTTAGTGTCTCTTCCTCTTACTATAAAGACACCAACCCTATTAGATTAGGGCCCCATCCTTTTGAACTCATTTAACCTTAATTACCTCCTTAAAGGCCCTATCTCCAAATACAGTCACAGCTGTGATTAGGGCTTCAGCACATGATTTTTGTTGGGGAAGGGGACAACACAACTCAGTCCACGACAACAGGACACACACAGTGTCTTGATCACCTGGCCTCTGCCAGCTACTTGGCACCTCTGTCCCTCCCTGGCTGGCATCCTGCTCCCTGCCTGACCCTAAGCCTCACCATTTTTAAAACATTTCACACTCCTGCCAGGCCCCACGAGCTTTGTACATGCTTTCCATCTTCCTGAAATTCCTCCTTCCCTGGCCGGCTCCTGCTTTCCCTGGGGAACACCTCTTCAGGAAAGCCTTCTGACCACCCTGGTTGACCAGGTGGCATCTGGGTTCTTCCTTAACCCCTGCCATCACTGAATTCTGATGGTTGCTGTGCTTATCTGTCTCCCTGGACTCCTCACATTCAGAGCTGTGTCCATTATGTCCTCAGGGCCTAGCAGAGAATCAGTAAATATCTGTTGAGGGAACTATTAGGGACCTTTAGTTCCCAGAAATTCCTGTAGACACTGACAGTTCCTTCCACAGTGGATGCTCTGCTGCCCTCCCTTGTGCGGTTACAGCCATGGGGCCTTGTGAGCACATCGAGTGACAGGAGCCAATTCTGACCAGTAGGGCAGGGTGTGATGGCCTTCCCCTCCCCAAGAGTGAGTCCAGGCAGTGCACTCTTTCTGGTTATATGCAAACAGAATCATCTGGGTTGCATTAGCTGGCTGCACTGTAAACAGCCCTTAACAAAACTGAGGGCTGGAAAAAGTAGGAGGTAAATGGAGGGGACCTTTCCCACCCTGTGCAAGAAGACAAAGCAGGAAAAGGCTGGATGGGATCAGAGTGGAAATGGCTCCCTAGGGAGGTCTGCTCTTTCCAGGCCAGGGGTGGAGGTGAGGGGGCAGGGGGAGGTTCCGGGGCCAGGAGGCACCTCCCAAACAGGCAGCGCAGGAGTGAGGGCTGGTTCTGTGTTTGAGGACCTAAGAGGCCCTTTCTGATGGAGCGCAAGGTGCGGCGGGGACTGTCTGTGCCATCCCCCCTGAAACAAAGCCAGCTGCTCCAGTGGTGGCTCCGACTCCGCGGGAAGACGACAGTGACTGTGTCCTGAGCATTTGTGTTTGTGTGTCTGTGCTCCAAGCAGCTGGCCCCCCACGAGGCCCAGGAGCAGCGGGAGCTGAGGGCTTGCCTGCGCTGGCGTCGCCTCCAGGACGAGGTGCGGAACTCCCCGGAGGATATGCAGGTGTTGAGGTAAAGCACTACGTGATCCCGTTACCTTCCGGTCCTCCCCATCACGCTCCTCCTTTCCTGCAAGGCACATCCAGGCCATCTCTTAAATCTGCTGTGTTTCCTTTTTAAATTAAATTGGGCTAGATTACTCATCTTCCCAGGGATGTGATTGTTATGTTTTAAGTCTTTCAGGGTGTGGGTTTGGATTTGCCTTCTGACATTTTCCTGGTGTCTCTGTTCAGGAAAAAACTAGCACAAGGCCATTTCCGGGACCAAATTCTTCATTTGAAGTTCTAATAGTTACTTTATGTGGTGGCTGTGGACTTGGAGAAGGTTAGGGTCTGGTAGCCTGGCAGACAGTAACTCTTTAAAGCCAAAAGGAAAAAAAAACCTTTAAGAAAATATTGATTCCTAAGTGTTTAGTAGTAACAGATGTTTGTGTCAATGGGGCCTTTTGTTCCGGATGTGTCCCGGCAGGAGGCCACTCCTGTGCTGGTGGGAGGATTCTACTCTCAGCTCCTGTGTTGTATTTTCAGAGCGTTTCTTGCAGCACCGGTAGGATTACTTCTTGCCATTTTCCCATTTTTTTTGTCCCTCTCTGTTTGCTTGTTTTTTCTCCACTTCTGTAAATAGTTGTTGATCTGAAAGCTGAGCCTCGGCCCCAGGAGCACTGTGATTGCTATGGCAACAGATGCTTTCAGCCTGTCCCCTCTTGACTGGAGCCAAGCCTGTGGAATCTGCCATCAGACAGGTGGGAAGGCAGCCATCCGGGAATCACCCCTCATTTTAGATGGCAGCTCTGAAGGCCAGTCTACCGCCTGGGTAGAAGCCTGCCTGGACCCGTCCTGTTGTTGTTTGTTTTTAAATAAACACCCCTCTCTGCAGGACTGCCCACTGAGGCCAAAGTCTGAGGGGAATGCCGAGCCCAGCCTGACCCCAGCGAGGCTCGCCAGTCCTTTGTGCGGCACGGCAGCACAGGGTGTGGCCGCTCTTCCCATGGAGAAGTCCTCTCTCGCACGCTAAGCGCTGGCGTCTGCTGACTCATCCATTGTTTAGGAAAGCCGGAGCCGGGAGTCCTGTCTTCCCCACCCAGCGCCACTGTGCAAGCATCCGTTCACTCAGCCAGTGGGATGGCTACACCCACCGCCAACGTGGACAGGGTCCCTGCTCTCATGGAACTTACACGTAGCAGGGACTCTCTTGTAGGCACAGCTAGTTACAGGTGGTGAGAAGTTCTGTGAAGGGAACGCCGAGGTTTACAGTAAAGAGGCTGGGGAATGCCTCTCTGAAGAGCATCAAGGCCTGAGGCGGGAAAGGGCTTGCCATGCTGGTGCTCGAGGGGCAGAAAGGAAGGCAGTGTGGTTAGAAGGGCGGGGAGTGGCGGGCAGGAGCTCGATCATCCAGCCTTACCCTGAGCGCGATGGAAGCTGCCCCAGGGCCTTCAGCACGGAAGGATCCTTATCTGTCTTGTGCTTGCAGGCAGCAGACAGAAAGCCAGGAGAAGGGTTAGAAGGTTGTAGTAGTCCACGTTCGAGGTCCTGGTTGTGGCAGGGCGGACACAAGAAGCAGACCTATTTAAGACATGTGTTGGCAGATCTTTGGTCTGTTGAATGTGGAGAAAAGGAAATTGAAAGTGTCCAGAATGACTTCGAGGGTTTTGACCAGAGCAGCTGAGTAGACAGGTGGTGATGCCATTTGGGGAGATGGTAAAGGCTTTGGGAGGGGCAGGCTTTGGAGGGAAGAATAAAGATTTCAGTTTTGCATGTGTCAAGTTTGACATGCCAAATAGATATCCAATATTGAAAACCCAGTGAGGTTTACAAGTTAGGAGCTCATTGGAGAGACTGGAACATTCAGCCTATGGAGACTTAAAATTCTGAGCATGCTGAAATGACCAGCTAGAGAGGAAAGTGAGAGAAGAGGTTGAGAGGAAGATGAGGGGCCCGTGGAGGAGCTGGGGAAATCAGTGCGGAGAAAACCCCGATGCCGGGAGTCATGGGAGTCAGGAAAGGAAATGCCGGCTGCTGCTGAGGGGTGTGTAAAAGGGGGGGAGAGAAGTGACCTTCGGGTGGACTGCATGAAAGGCGTTGGTGACCTTGACATGCAGGCATTAATTCATGAGCTGTGGAGAAGGGAGCCCGACTGAAGTGGATAGAGGGATGAATGGGAGGTCTGGAAGCAGAGACATTGAGTGTGGACTTTGTGAGAGATGTTGTGCCGGGAGGGGAGGGAAATGAGGATCAGGGAGGTTTGTTTTAAGGTGGCTGATGCAGGAACAAGCTTATGTGTGAGCTGTATAACTGGGCCAATCCTGCCAGCTCTCAAGACTCAGTTTCCCCACTCTCCAAGTCTCTAAGTCCCTTTGATGCCCCCAGTTCTGTATGATCATAGACCGTCGGTTCGGGTAAGGACACTATAATTAACAGCAGTTGGTGAAACGTGTTCCCAACTTATAAGCAGTCAGATGGACCCTGGGAAGTCAGTGCACATGAGTAGAGAGCCTTGTCTCTGGGGTTCGTGGAGCTTCTGATGTCCAAGAGCTTTTCCTTTGTGTGTGGAGCCGGGAGAAGGAATACGCTATTTTTAGAACCTTGTGCTAAAAGGCTTATTATGGCATTTGTTTTTCTTTTTCTTAGTATTCAGAAATTGTGTTTGCCTAAATTTAGGCTAACCATGAAATGAGTGCATTTGAAAGATTTGTTGCCCATCAGTATGGAAAATATTGTTATCAGATGTACTTACAATGAAGAGGAAATATTTCTGAACCTGCCCCAAATTATATAGTCTAGGTTTAGTTCATTCCCATCCCTTAGAATTCTCCCTTAAATGGGCTCAGAGAAACTAGAAATGACTGACAGTGAAAGGAAGAACCAGAGTTGTAAAAATTTGTTCTCGGATTTTTGTTTTAGTACACAAATAAGACCTTGGGAAAGAAGTCTCTTAAAACAATACAGTAGTCAAAGATGCTATCTTTTTTCTTTCTTGCTTTTAAGATACCCCATGGTCTTCAAATGATGGACCAAGAACAATTTAGAAGTCTTGGTTTCACGTTGCCAGAGGCAATGGAAACTTCTCCTACCCACCTTTGCAGCAACTTGCAACATGGTTGACCACTCCCTCTTTCTAAACACACTTTCTTCCCTTGGCTTCTGTGTCACACTCTCCTTGATTTCCTTCTACCTCACTGCTGGTCCTTCCCCACCTCTCCTGCTGGCTGTTTAACATCTTCACTTAGGTGACTCATGGCTTCGAAAGACCAGTTAAGGTGTCCAACATCATACAGCCAATAAAGAGCAGAGTGGGGATGGAAACAATCCTCTTTTCCCTACACCACCTCCCTGCCTCCAAAGAACTTGATATAGCATTTAGTTGCATTAAAAAAAAAAATACTCCAGGTATCTTGAACTGTGGAAGGACATGAAGGTCAGGTTGAAAAAAGTATCCTTGGGCAAAGTGTCTTTGTCTTTTTACACATGAGAGTGTGTGTCTGATTATTTCAGTCAATATAGGGAAACAGGAAAACTCAATATTGTGTTGATGATAGCTATTGGAGGGGTATTGATAAAGTGAGAAGAGAAAAATTAAAATGATGTTTGTCTCTGACTTGCTAATTTCAGTAATTTATAAGCACTGTTTTCCATTTGTGCCTCCCATATATCCAGTGTTGAATCATGGCTCTCATCAAATGTGTCTTAAATTGACCTGCTTGTAAGTTTCATTTGGTTAAAACAGTTCCTTGTGTTTTCCGAGGTTTCTCAGCCTTCCCTGGCTGGGGAGCCTGTAATGTGGCTGCAGGCTCCCGAGGCATAGTTTCAAAATGCTAGGGTCACATTACTGGCTCCATGCCTTTTCCCATTTGTTAATTATTAAAATGCCTTTCCCGTAGATGAGACCCCAGTGGCTCTCTCCAGACTTTCCCTCACCTCTCCCTCCACCAGGCCTGGGCAGAACCGTTTGCCCTTCAAAGCCTGATGTGACTCTTCCACTCTGCCCCGCCTGGCTGCCACCACTTCGCTCTCCGCTATTCGTTCCCCCAGTCCCCCCACTCTTGTCCAGTGCAGCAGCCATGACTCTTGACAAGGAAGATGCCAGGGGGCTTCTGAAAGGCTCCCGTGCCTGTGGTCTCTAGGGTATAGCTGCGTCAGCATCTTCCCTCTAAGTGTTTTCAGTTAGTGTATCATGACAGGCCGGCGGGATGGAAGAGCTACGGTGGCGGGGTCAGAAGAAATCTCTGTTGGTTTTTATAGTTTGTGATTTATTATCACTTCCCCCTTTTTCTGGATTCATTGTTAAAGTCAAGCTCGTGCTGAGAAAAACGTTAAAATATATCACGTTGAGTAGGCGCTGACAAGCCCGGAGTCTGACGTGGCTCTTTCTAGCTGCTGCCTCCACAGTTGATACAATTCTAGAGAAATGCAGTCTCTTTTCCCATCTTCCTCATGAATCCCTCAGCCCCCTGGTTCCAAAGACATTCCATAATAATAGGGAACCCCCCCCGCAAGTATGTAACTCTATCTACAGCCAAAATGAAATGTGCATGCCACAAGTTCTGTGAGTTTGCACGATGCCTAAGCACTGTGTATTCCATTTAACCGGTGAGACTTTTTTCCATTAAAAGCCTATGTGTAAACCTTCTCTAGTATTCATGAAGTTTTCACCTTTAAAGTTTTTTTTCAAAATTTTTATTTCTAGTCCTTGAAGAACATAGCAATCTTTCCCACCCACATGTGGGAACGTGTCCATTCTCAGCCGCACAAGCCTGCCTCATGGAAAAGCTCCAGCCCAGAGCTTCACTGCTGGGCCTGAACACTCCCCAGAATTCTTCTTCAGTCTCCACTGGCCCTGCAGGCATAAATAAATCCCTTCACTCCTCCTTGGGCAGCTCCCTTCTCCTTGCCTATGGTATTTATTCCAGACCTTCCCCATGCTCTCTTCCTTCTCTTGCCTCCTGTCCCACAGGGAAGGTGGAGGCCACCAGCCTATTCTCCCTTTGATTCTGTAAGCACATCAGCATGCAAATC